GACCAGTCTAAGGCCCAGAGGGAAGCACACACACAGCCCAGCAGCTGCCGAGGTGAGCCGAGACCAGATCCTTGGGAAACCAGGGTCCAGTCTACGACCCTGGGGGGGGTAGGGGGAAGGGAAGCACATACATCCCAGCAAGGGATGAGGTGATCCAAGACCTGCACAGCACCAGGGGCTCAGTCTACTGCCACAGAAAGCTGGAACAGGAGCCAAGGTGGTGTAATATAGATACCGCCACACCTTCTGTCACCACAAGGATAGTTCACCACCACAGTAGCACCAAGGCCACTCTACAGGCAACCTGCCACTCACTTGACTACATTGATATAAGAAAAGTCACCAGTAGAGCCTACAAATAGAGGAGTAAGTGTTTATCCTCATAGCCAACCCCAGAGAAACAGAAAAAGCAAGTCCTCTACCAGATGACCAAACATCAGCGAAAAAATACTAGAACCACAAACAAACAAGAAGATATGACACCACTGAAGGAATATAGTAATGCTCAAATTCCAGGCTCCATAGAACAGGGAATCCTTGAAATGTCTGAAAAAGAATTCTGAGCAATGATCTTAAGAAAGCTGAAAGAAGTAAAAGAAGACTCAATTAGAGAACACAAGGAAACAAGAAAAAATATCCAGAATATGAAGGAGGAAATTTACAAAGAGATTAATACCTTTAAAAAGAGTGTATCAGAACTTCTAGAAATGAAAGATTAACTCATTGAAATAATAAAAAAAAAAAAAAATCAGAGAGCTTAAGTAACAGGCTAGAGCAAGCAGAAGAAAGAATTTCAGGTCTTGAAGATGGTCTTTTTGAAATAACCCAGGCAGACCAAAAAAAGGAAAATAAATTTCAAAATAATGAGTAAAATCTGAGAGAGAGAGCAGACAACCTCACGCACTCAAATATCTGAATTGTAGGTATTCCAGAAGGGGAGGAGAAAGGAAAAGGTATTGAAAACCTATTCAAGGAAATAATAACAGAGAAGTTCCCAGGGATAGGGAGAGATGCAGACCTTCAGGTCCAGGAAGCTCAAAGGTCCCCAAAGACATCCAATCCAAAAAGATCCTTTCCAAGACACATTATAGTTAAATTTGCAAAGCTCAAAGACAAAGAGAGAATTCTAAAATCAGCAAGAGAAAAGCATCAAATCACTTATAAGGGAACCCTCATCAGACTGACACCAGACTTCTCAACTGAAACCCTACAGGCCAGAAGAAAGTGGAATGATATATTCAAAATACTAAAAGAAAAAAAATTACCAGCCAAGAATTCTTTACCCAGCAAAGCTCTCCTTCGGAAATGAGGGAGAAACAGTGTATTTCCCAGACAAACAAAAATTGTGGGAGTTCACCACCACAAAACCAGCCCTGCAAGAAATGCTCAAGGGAGTTATGCATCTGCAATCTGGATAATGAATGTCACTATCATGGATACACAAGGAAGAGCAAAACCTGCTGTTGAAACAAAAATGCCAGTGAGAAAAAGCAAGAAGCTAAATCATGCCATGTCAAATATCCAACTAACACTGAAGAAGAGAAATAAAAGGGGAAGTAAGGATCAAAAGATATTTAAAACATCTAAATAAAAATCAATTAAATGACAGGAGTTAAACAATACCTGTCAATAACCACCCACAGATTGACTGATTGGATTAAATAGCTAGACCCAAGTATATCCTGTCTTCTAGAGACCCATCTCACACATAGAGATACACACAGACTAAAAGTGAAGGGATGGACAAAGATATACCATGCAAATGGAAACCAAAGATGAGCAGGAGTAGCTATTCTTATACCAGACAAAATAGACTTTAAACCAAAAAACATAAAAAGAGACAAAGAAGGCCACTAAATAATGATAAAAGGATCTATTTAGCTAGAAGACATAACAATCATAAATATATATGCACCCAGTACTGGAGCATCCAGATATATAAAGCAAACACTCTCAGGCCTAAAGAAAGAAATAGGCCCTAATATGTTAGTAGTGGGTGACCTGAACACCCCTCTCTCAGTATGGGACAGATCTTCCAGGCAACAAATTGACAAAGAGACATAGGATTTAAACTACCCCTTAGACCAACTGGACCGGGCAGATATATACACAATGTTTCATACAACAGCTAAAGAATATACTTTACTCTCTTTAGTTCATGGAACATTCTCCAGGATAGACCACATATTAGGTCACAAATCTAGTCACAGCAAATTTGAAAAAAATTGAAATAATTCTGAGTATCTTTTTAAACCACAATGGACTAAAACTGGAAGTCAATAACAAGCAAAACCCTGGAACCTGTACAAATACATGGAAACTAAATAATAGGCTCCTGAATGACCTATGAGTCCAAGAAGAAATTAAATTGGAAATCAAAAATCTTCTTGAAACTAATGAGAATAAAGATACATCATACCAAAACCTGTGGGATACTGCAAAAGCAATACTAAGAGGCAAATTTATTGCAATAAATGCTTACATCGCAAGAATGGAAAGACTTTAAATAAACAACCTAACACTATGCTTCAAAGAACCTGAAAAACAACAACAATCCAATATTAAAGGTAGTAGACAGAGAGAAATAATTAAGATCAGAACAGAACTAAATGAAATAGAGATCCAAAAAACTATAGAAAAGATCAATGAAACAAAAAGGTGGTTTTTCGAGAAGATAAATAAAATAGACAAACCATTAGCTAGGTTAACAAAATAAAAAAGAAGAGAGAAGACCCAAATAACAAAAATCAGAAATAATAAAGGAGACATTACAACTGATATCACAGAAATACAAAGAATCATTAGAGACTACTATAAACAACTGTATGACAACAAATATGAAAACCTGGAAGATATGGATAAGTTTCTGGACACATACAAACTACCCAGACTGAACCAAGATGTGGTAGAAAACCTGAATAGACCAATAACAAGCAACAGGATTGTTTCAGTCCATTTTGTGTTGCTATAACAGAATACTTGAG